ATAAAAGAAAATTATAAAAATTACATTAAAATTATAAAAGTATAACAAATAATCTATTTAAAAATATTTATAATTATAATTCAACTATGAATAATACGAAAAGTATGACATATATCATAATATGCAAATTAGCTGCAACATCGGTCCAACTCAAACATCAAAAGTAATATATTCGATACGAAATCTTATATGTATCTCTTAAGCAGTAATGAATCTTGAAAGAGTTTCGATATTATAATTTGATATTTTACTTAAAATACTCCTTTTATTTAATATGTTTTTTATTTGAAAGAGAATTTATATAAAAATGTACTGAATTCACAATTTAAATATGATTCTCTAGCATCATTTATTTTTAAGTTTCAACAAGTTAATAAAGTGACACATAATTCACCATACAATACTATGATAAAAAAATTATTTGTAAATAGTTACTAGCTAATACTGAGCTATAAAATTAATAATATTGTATCTCGTAAACGTGAAAAATATAATATTTTAAAAAAATAATTATAAAAAAAATTATGGACTATTATACAGTAAAGACATAACAAGAATTAATAAATAAATACTTTTCAAAATGAAAGATTTATTTAAAATTTACTATCATAGCAACTTAGTGGATAACGTGCAATAATTATTATTTTAATAATGACATAAAATACTCTCAACTTAATGATTTATCATTAAGAAAAAAGTAATTTTGAATAGTCAACGATTTATTAAGAAAATTTGAGGATTTACAAGGTTAGTTACACACAATTGCATAACGTTCTACTAGGCGAGCCAGTACGCCAGGCGTTGGGCGTGTCTGGGGCGTAAGCCCCGATGAACGATGCGTAAGTCTCACGGAACTAAGCCCCACACATAAGCCTAGGGGCGTTTCACGAGTGCTCCACCCCGGGGCGAGTCCCAATTCTGCCTTTTAAAACAGAGTGTGGGATTATGAAGCTCCTTCGTATAAAGTTCTATCATATTATGCTGAAACTCCAGCACATTATGAAATTCCAACACATTATGCTAGAAACTCTTCGAACTCAAGCATATTATGCTGAAATATTTCTGGATTTTTAAGGGTGTTTTTTGTTCAGATTTCATATTTACATGAAAAAGTGGCTAAATTTCGATTACTTTTGAAACTGTCGTTAATTTTCAATTACCAATTCTGGCTATTTTTAAATTTTTTCCGGACCGAAATAACGAATCAAGCAAAAAAGTCCAGTAGATTTGGAATGGTTAGAAGTAACATAAGTAATAGAAAGATGGTCTTGCATAGTTGCATAAGTAGAAAAAAGAAGACAAAAAACGGTTGCAAATCCGATATTCTTACATTCAACTTCTAAGGTAAAATATGGGGTAAATTTTAAAAATAGCCAGATTTACAACTGGTCGTTCAAAAATAGCCCAATTTCAAAAGTAATCGAAATTTAGCCACTTTTTTATATAAAGATAAATCTGAGCTAAAACACTGTTCAAAACCCGGAAAATACTCCAGTATATTATGCTGGAGTTACAGCATAAGCATACTTGAACTCCAGCGTATTATACTGGAGTTCCAGAATAAGTATGTTGGAACTCCAGCATAATATGATGGAGTTCCAGCATAAGTACACTAGAACTCCAGCATAATATACTGGAGTTCCAGCAAGTATATTGGTTTAGTATAATATACTGGAGTTTGGAGCACCGGTGCTCCAGTCTCCAGTATATTATACTGGAGCCAGCAAAGTATACCGGTCCAGCATAATGTGCTGGAGTTCATACACAAGTGCACCGAACTCCAGTATATTATGCTGGACCGGTCTCTATTGCAGCAAAATAGTGGGTATTTTTCATTGACTTGGTAAACGTTGGCTATTTTTGATTGACCAGTCCGAAAACTGGCTATACCGTGCTATTTTTACTAAAATATGTGGGATTGGGCCATCAATTGGTTGTGGAGTCTGACTTGGAATGGACAGCCCACCCCAACTTTAGAGTAGCTCAGTAATATTTAGTGTAGATAACAAACTTTTCAGATTCTAATTTTCAAGCACACCACTTATACTACTCTATTGTGTTTAAACTTTGCAATTCCTTGAACCTTTTGGTATCAGTTTCATAACAAAATAGATTACCTAATCAAGGCATCTCCATTCTCATTATTTCTTGGTAAATAGCCAAGAATAGTAAATGAACCCATTGATGTGGATTGGATTGTAACATGTTCCTGAATATTCTGTGTAACTCAACAAATCTCTCCATGATCCTACAATAATTCTTCCCCTAGCTTAAAATGTAAAATTTCTTCAAAACCAGCATAGAATTCCCACTCAGCATAGTCTAATACTCATTTGTGTAAGAAACATAGCCTAAACAAGCTTGACCTACAAAATGGGAAAGAATAGTCAAAGCGAGAGTCTTTTTAGTAATAGGATTGCATAGCCATATTTTTCCCACATAGCCAGTTTGGTAAAAACATAACAAGTCTACACCAGAACTAGTAATGTCCCTCTCCAATTTCTGCAACAGTTTGATATTCATGAACCACAGGAGCTTACTGAAGAAAAATGAATGAGTTGGGACCTGAACGAGCGATTACTTTTTGAAGAGTTGATTAGAGAGAGTACTGTTGGCCTTTTCTTGGATTTCTCGCGATGTTGATTCTTGAAATGGGGACTGGAAAATGTATCAAACCATTCTTTCGAAAGGCATTTGAGCTGACAAAGTTGTTTGACGTACTAAGTCTTGAGAATATGTTGATCAAGATATAATCAGCCATGCCTTTATTCACTTGTTATTCATTCATTATATTTGGAAATCAATGAAAATGCTTCACCTCTCTAATTAACCTTTCTTTGTTGCACAAGCATGTAACCTTGTAATGTTTGACTTATAATAAGCAAGAGGCGGATCTAGGATTTGGTGCACTACTAAGAAAAAAAGGAGGAAAAATTATATTAAGTGGGAATTAATTCTTATTCTGCTCGGCAAAAAACTCAAACAACCAACTGTACCATTCAACCTTCTTAGAGCATGGGTGCCAACAGTTAATATTATAAAATTTTCAAAAAATACATACATAAAATATTTAATTTTGCAGAGAGACCATGGGTTCACATATCCCATAATTTTCCCTGAAAATCCGCCCCTGTTAATATGAAAGTATGACAGCAAGCTGAATGGCAAAAAAAGATATTAAGTGATTTTTATGAATGGTTGACCTAATAGAAGAATCATTAAAAGTGGATGGCCACGAAGTGTAACATGGCATTATTGATGAAATTTTGAAGACTTTGCCCCTTTATATGTTAATTAATTTAGTCTTACACTTACATATCTTTGTTCCTGCTTGGTTAAAAGATTGCTTCTCAGGGGAGCATACTTGTCCGCTAAAAATTGGTCATACGAAGCTCCATCATTAATATTAAATGGTAATTACTCCTTTCATTTCAAAATTTTAGTCTATGTTTGAAAAATTTAACTATTGACGGGGCATTAGCTAAAATGACGCCAGACAATTCTATAACTTTCCGAACCAATATTGCTGACTCTTCAAAAATACTAATTGGTGCGTGTCGGATCCTCTGAAAGTAGTATATTTTGGAAAATTCAAGGCGAATGCGGCAACATCTTTTTGTGAGTCAGGGCAACGTAGCCACGAGCTATAACTAGCAGCTGCTTATAAGGATAAAACTTTGATGGATCACTAATAATACATACATTAACTAATCATAGTTAGGCGATAATTTGATATAAAAGATAAATTTGATACATTTATTGCTTTGGTCCCTTCTAATATGTAGCGCAACAATATTCTTTTTATTTCGAGTTTATTTTGCCAACTTTTGCATGACTAGCAGGCTACGATTTCCCCATCTTTTACAGAATCAAAATTGCCTTGTGATTAGCAGCGATTTACTTTGAATCTTACCACTATACTAATATTCAAAAGACATGAAGCCCTCGTTTTGCAGTCAAAAGCAAATCCATGATTTGAACCTTATAGGTTACTCAAGGAATTTTATTTACTGGGTTCAAAATCTAAATTTGTGCTTATGTCGGGAAAAAATTTCACATATACAATATAGGTCCTAACCAAAACCACTGGATTCGGATGAAACCATAGGATGTATGCCAGATCCACCCCTACTGGCAATTCAAATCAAATAGTTTTTGAAAATCATAAGACACAATAAAAAAAATAAGAATAATTTCACGCAATATCATTAAAGTAACCAAACTCGCAATAACATATATAAAAGCCACTAAACTTATGTGTAGTAAAGTTATAAAGTTATTTTTATCACATTAAAATTATTTTGAAAGATGAAAGAGGGTGAGAGAAAAAACAGAAAGGACTGCCACTGCTTGCTCAATTTGTTAGAGGGAAAGTTGGAAATTTACGACATAACACAAATCAAAAAAAAAAAAAAAAAAAAAAAAAAAAAAGAAATGACACCCTTTCCAGTGAATTCAACATATAATCGGCAATGTTTTCTTGGAATGTTCTGGGGTCTCTGTCGGTCAAACTGCCTTGCTTCTTGAATTTGGTTTTTATCGATTTATAGTCACTGAACTTTTTCAAGGGAATCGGACCATAGTACCAAGAATGCAAAAACATCACCTCACATAATGCCATATGGAAAATGAGAAATGTTTGATATAACAGTAATTTGGTATTTTTATTTCTTTTCCATTATTTCATACACAATATAAATGCTTGATAGTCTATACCGTAGCATTGTAGTAAGTGCCCCCTGGTTTCTATTAGCACGAAGGAAAAATGGTCAGAAATTGGTTTCAGGTCATTTTCAGGACAAGTAGTAACAAAAGAGATCATAAGGGTAGTTGACTAACTTCTCAACATTTTCCAATTCACCAGCTTCACAAATTACAGTTAGATTTTAAGTAACTCCACAAATTATCACCTTGAACAAACTTCAATTTACCTGCAAACCACTTGTTTATTTTTCCATTATTAATTAATTACTACTCCTCGTTCAAGAAAATCAATCAAAATGGAAACCAGCTCAAAAATTAGTCAGAAATGGATGCTATGTGCATTTGGTAGTTTCATTAGCTGCTTCATTTTCTTGATATGCCTTAAGCACAATGAGGCAGGTTATTTCAAGGCACTGCGACATTGCATGTTCAACGTGGCATCGTCTTTAGACGATAGTTTTTCGCCTACTGGAAATTTAGAAATCTTGAAACCAGCAAGAAGCAGAGAAGATGAAGGTAATATAATCCAGAAAAACAGCAAGAATAAGTGCAATATATTTGAGGGAAGATGGGTTTATAAACCAAAGGAAAGTCCATATTATGAAGCACCACAATGTCCATTCCTTAGTGAACAAGTGAGCTGCCAGAAGAATGGAAGGCCTGATTTTGACTATCAAAATTGGTCTTGGGAAGCTCATCAGTGTGTCATTCCAAGGTAGAAAAATTGTTCATTTATTTTCTTGTTTGTTGTTTCTGTAACTCACATACACTAACAATGTGGCATGAACCGATGGTCTCTCGAAAACAACCTCTTTACCTGTATATTTACCTGTATAAGGGATAAGGTCTGCATACATACTACCCTCTCCAGATCCCACATGTGGGAATATACTGGATATGTTGTTGTTACTGCACTGACAACGTGAAGAATATTTGCACTATCACTATGTAGAAGTTAAACTCTCCTTTTTTAAGGATATAAAAACAAGGGAAAATGATATTGTATAGTCACTCTCAAAATAATAGCCGAAAAAATATATACTTCTGAATTATATATACATTCTATATGTTATATACAAAAAGTATACAAATTTTATGCACTTTTTCAGCTACCGAAGGTAAATAATTTCTGGCACGGGCTAAAAGTGAAAAAGCCCAAAAAACCCTAAAAACAACAACAACAACGATGTGTATGCAGACCTTACCCCTATCTTCAAAAAGCTCTATAGATATAAAAGATAGCAAAAATTGGAGGTTCTTTTGCAGCTTGAATGGCATATATATGTTGGAGAGGCTTAGAGGAAAGAGGGTAATAATAGTTGGAGATTCACTAAACAGAAACCAGTGGGAATCTCTAGCTTGTCTTCTTTATTCTACAATTCCTCCTTCCAGAGCTCATGTTGATGTTAGGAGTGGCTCCTATAAAGTCTTTAAAGCTAAGGTAAATCAACTCAGAGACTTCTTTCTTTCACAACAAGTGCCTTCTTACTGTAATTTTGGACATGTCTAATGGTATAATACTTGTGAATTTAGGTCACACTTTCTTCTGTTCATACCAAAAAACAATAATTTTCTGCTTTTCTAGGACTACAATGTGACAGTAGAATTCTACTGGAGCCCATTTCTGGTCCAGTTCGAATCAAACAGACCTGGTGCTCCTAAAATTTTGAGGCTGGAGAAACTCGATTTATCGTCTAGGCTTTGGCAAGGAGCTGACATTATGGTATTCAACACGGGCCATTGGTGGGTGCATCTTGGGAAGTTGAAGGCGTAAGTCACTAAGGACTTCTCTTTCAAAGTTTATCAGTTTTAACTTCTATACACCGACAGTGACACTATAAGTCACTTAAAAGATAATTATAGATAACAATAACCTGAAAATAAAGACAAGCCATGTTAAAACACTCTTAACAGTATCAGTGTATATGACTTGAATCCAAAGTCGATATATACAGTTAAACCGCAAGTCCATGATGCAATTGGATGCCTATTGTGGGGTACTTTGCATGCAGGTGGGACTTTTTCGAGTACGAGGGAAGATTAGTTAATGAGCTGAAGTTAGAATCAGCATTTGAAGTGGCAATGAGGACCTGGGCAGATTGGATAGACCAGAATATTAACTTGAACAAAACAACAGTTTTCTTCAGAAGCATTTCTCCAGAACACAAAGCTCAAAATGGGTGTTACAATAAAACACAACTCATCACAGACAAGTCCCATGTAACACATTTTTCTGAGTCTCTGACGGCGATTGTTGAAAGAACATTGTTAAAATTGAGAATCCCTGTAAGATACTTAAACATTACCAAGCTCTCAGAGCACCGCGTAGATGCACATCCATCAGTCTACGCCAAAAAGAAAGGAAGAGAATTGGTGAAGAGGAAATTAAAGCTACCGGAGAGTTTTGCTGATTGCAGCCATTGGTGCCTACCTGGACTGCCTGATACATGGAATAGGCTACTATATGCATCTCTGGTTTTGGATCACTCCACTGGCTCCCAGAGTTTATCGCATTTGGTTTCTTGAAAATCAGATATTGACTATCAGTAAGCTATATATTAGTTGCTATATCAGTATTGTAGTGAGCATATATAGCAGTAATTGTAACTTTTATGTTGAACTGTGCTGCAGAGAAAACATTTTATTATTGTGCACATTTACCTAGTTCTAAAATGTACAGGAAAACCTTGACTAACTATTTAGTTGGCCAAGTCCACATAATTCCAGAAGAGAAACTACATACTTCCAGAAATGACCAACAACAACATAATATAATCCCACAAGTGGGGTCTAGGGAGGGTAGTGTGTACGCAGACCTTACCCCTACACTGAGGGTAGAGAGGTTGTTTTCGATAGACCCTCGACAACTCTTTCGCAATGTGATATTTGGAATGCTCGAGCAAGTCCACATGACTACTGCTCGTTGGGTTGAGACCTTAAGAAATAGGATTACATAATAGAAAATCTACTACATAGGCATACAAATCACCAACATACCCTTCCAACTCTGTGCGTTATGGCAAAGAACAAGAAGTTATCAAAAGGAGAAATTAGTCCATTTACTACAAAGAGTGCCTCCAAATGTTGACATCCAATCCAATCTAGTAGTAAGCAATCCGACAAAAGCAACCAAAATATTCCTTGGTGAATCGGCTAAAGACTTGAAGTACGTACATATTTTTAAGAAAGGGTAAAGCCAACAGACATGGAAATTCAAGGACAGATTCAGCACTTAAAAAAGTATTATATATCTTAGTAATTTATAAGAATGCCAAGATTGGATACAAGATGGCCATACCTCAGATATAGGTTGCTTTCTTCAAGGTACCACTATGTATTATTTACTAGTTACACTACTAGAGGAATGGATTATAGATGCCGTATGCAATTTTATAAAGCAATTAATGGGCTTATAACATAAACAGTTGGTGCATCATCTCTCAATGTTTGTTTCTCAAGGACGCCATGCAGTGATTGGAAAAGCAACAATACTATTTACAGCATCATCATAACTACAGAATCTCCCACTCAGATTCAGGATGATCATTAGCAGATAACATCTTAGTGTTTGAATTCATGGCAAGAACAGGCATCACCTTGTCTTCAGCTTCTTGGTTAAACTGTTGATCTCCATATAGTGCTCCAAGTTGTTCATACTCTTTCCTTGTCAACCTCTTTCTTGTGGAGAATGCCTCCCGAAGCTTCTTCTGAGAAATTATGATAAAAGCAGTCAACAAATATCTAAAAGACACATTCAAACAATATCGACACACCCCGGCCCCTCCTAAAACAAAAAATGAAGTAAAGGAGTAAATATAAAAAAGAATATACTCCCTCTGTTCCAATTTGTCATACTTTCCTTTTTAGTGTATCCCAAAAATAGTGTCATACTTCCTTAATTTACAAATAATTCAACTTGAAACTTCCCATTTTACCCCTAATAAGATGATTTAAATCCACACAAATGTTTACAGCTTGTTTTAGGCCACAAGTTCCAAAAGTCTTTCTTTCTTAAACTCCATGCCTAGTGAAACACCACCTCATAAATTGGGATGGCGGGAGTAGTGTGTATGTGTGCGTGTGTGTATATATATATATATATATATATATACATATATATATAAANNCCAACCTTGTATGACTTCTGTTTTACTGGGCCCAGTGGAACATGAATCCTGTCCCCTTCAACCATGACACATGTTTCCTCCAACTGGGATTCGTCAAATTTCTCAACAAATTCCACTTCCGACTCATTAATGTCATACTTGGACAAATTATCTGACCTTCCTGTAAAAGAGTAAAATGTTGTTATAGAAATAGGTTTGAGAAAACGATAATCCTAGAGACAATGAAGTAATCTGAAAGGCAGACACATGCTGGTCAGTCTCACAAACATCCCTTTGGTACATTTGATCTTAAAGTGGATAGAATAGGAAAATGAAGACGACCTAAGGACCTTCTAAATTTTCTTTGACAGAGTGAGACATGCGGAGGGGGAGTACATTTGTTTGCTGGGATGAAGGAAGAGTGATGCAAACACCGTAGTTTTCTCCAAATTCCCAAGAAAGAAAAAGGTGAAGTGCAACTGTATAATCTTATAGTGGCTGATAAAACATAAATGGTTAATAGTACATACAGACATTTTCAGGAGCACGACTGCGCATCTAACCTCCAGCAGTTCCAAGAGGTCTCAGTGTGTGGCCTTACTGAGATGAACCAACTTTTGTTAGCTGATTTAACTCCTACAGTTGTGCCGACTTAGTTCAATCTAATCTCTGTGTGACTCATTCCCGCAATCCAATGTATATTTATGCTATAATAACATGATTTTTGGGTAATTAATTATAACATCTGATGAGGTACCACTTGGTATATAGTTTTCCTACAAGTAGTACACGGTAGTCTGTCTTGATTCAGTGTTACACCGCAAAATGGGAAGGTACACACACAATATTTCTTCAGTTTTAATTGATAACTAGAATCTGTCAATACCTTCACGGGACTCATTGATATCCTCAGTAGCAAAATCATTGTTCCGAGTATTAGTGCTAATTTCCAATATTGTATTACAAGCCAGTTCCTTTGTACATGTATCTGTTGAAAATGTAGAAGTTAAAGAGAGCAACTAAGAAGTGAAGAAAACTGCCAGACATTATACTACAAGAGTCTGGTGAAAAAGCCACCAACTGAGATAGAGCTGGAACCTGCTTGCTTCTTCCCAACGGATTCAACTGATGTCTTGACAGAAGCCGCAGAATTAGTTGAAGCACCAGCTTCTGGCACATTAGTTTCTATAGTGTGGTCACAAACTTTACTTGCCGTTTCTCCATAGTCAGATCCTTTAACTGAGGCCAGAGCTGAAGTCAGAGTTACATGGTCCGATGCCATTTCAAAACCGCCTCTAACCTCAGCACTTGAAGCTAATTTAATTGCATCCCCTGATGCAAGACAGATAGCATCAGATTTCTTAGTTGGGTGGCTGTCTCTAACAATTTCTTTGATTCCACCATTCTGACGTTTATAGACTCCTCCGCTTTTGTTTTTCCCTGAGATCTCAGGAAAAATAATATTAGCAGATCTGTCTGACCAAAGAGATTAAATAGTAAATGATGAATAATCAGCACTAGTATTTTGTACCCTTGATCACTTGAGTGTCATCATTTAATTTGTTACTGAATCCTCTGGTGCTTCCCTTAAGGTTTGCTTTCAGCTTCTTGTCAATTTCATAGTGAGCATAAGGGTTCAGAGACAAGTCAGCAGCTGCGACTTTCACAGGATCAATGTTATATTGAGGATGAACATCCTGCAGCACCTCTGAATAGAATCTCTTGACATTCGTACCAATAGTGTTCACCTGATTTTCGACATATTTAACAGTGTCCTGTAATTTATCACAGTCTTAGTTATGCTGATTATAACCCATTTGGTCAAAACTTAGCAGGGTCAATAACAGATAGTACAATTTTTCAGACAACAGCCAAAATAGCAACATGCAGGATGCAGAATTTCAGCTGTAAGCAAATTAACTCAAGGAAGTACCAGGAAACAAGTAATATCGAACATATGTAATAATTAAATAGGGAATAGAAAACTGAAAGAGTGTAGTTCACCTGGTACATAGCCTCTTCCATCTCCAAACACATAGTTTCGAACTTTTGGTATATGTTTCCGACCCATGATATAGCTTTCAAGTCCATCGCGGAATAGGTTGTCAACTTTACAGGGATTCTATCAAGTTAGTTGCACAACGTGTTACAGCTTCCCAACTGCAGAAATTTCAGGCCAGTTGTTGCACTATTACAATGGGCTTTTTTATGAGTTGCACAAAATCATAAAATTCTCTTGAGCCAAGTCAGCCACCAATTTCAATCTGTTTCAAGAGAAATGAATTTGTCAATCAATGATGACTAATGTAAGCTGACTCAATTGCCCTCTTTCTTAATGAGACACCAAATATTATTACCCAAAAAAGAAAGGAAATGCAGTACTCCTATTTAATATGTTAAGCCTCCTTGATATTAGGAGCAAACAAGATAAGACAAATAAAGAAGCTTTTCAGCAGATATATTCATTTTAGTATCAACCTTACTTGCTAATGACTTCACATTAAAAGCATGACAAGCCCTCACAGTTTTTCTCTTAAAGACAGAGATTTCTATTAGCACTTCCTTCCAAGGAAAATCACACCCTTTCCCTCCGCTAATCTTTCTCAACATGTTAAGAATGCAACATAAGGATTAGGTAAGAACAGTAATAAGACCAGAATTTTATCTCCTACAGTTGATTGTTTGGCCGCTCAAAATTAACAATGAGCCACCCCATCAAAATCACCAAGAAGAACAAAATCAAATTCCCAACTATAAACAAGAATACAACTGAATATCAATCTTCAGCATGAAGTTCATATTTTCTATACGCTCATAGGATCAAATTTTCATTAGCAAAATTACATACATCATGCATTTGAATCACCAGACATGTAGAAATTATTCTATAAAAAGTTTAATTATATCAGAAAATTAAAATAGCACAAGCCCCTTCATTCATTATATTCTTTTTCTTCATCTTATGATATAGACAAGTTGAAAACATTATCCAGAGTAGGAAGATCGACAAATTAACAAATTGACTCAAATTGAAACATCTAAAATAGAACGTATATAGGTCCTAAACGTCTAACCATCTAATAGCTATCTCATAAGCTCACCTGTTAAGTATTCCCCATGTTCCGACATTCAAAAACTTATGTCCGTAGTTTCACAAATTCAATTGCAAACCAAACTCCTCATAGAAACAGAGAAGGCAACAGTATAAGTTACAGCCAATTGCATCAAAGGGGTTACTTAGCAAAGTGGCTTTTCAATGCCTCCAGCATATAAAACTCAGAACTGCTCTAAAAGACTTCTTTTTTATGGCCCTAAGGAAACTACTCTTAACAGACTAGTATGGGCAAAATTTGTGGAAAACGTTTTTCATTTAATTATATGAACCTTTTTGGCAATAAGAATATCTGTAGAACTCAAGATTCCAAAGCCAATTTGGTCATCCAAAGTCAAGAGGGTTTAAGAGCTTCCTTATTAGCCAAACTAGGCTAATACCAAGTTTCCACGAAAAGCATTCCACACACCTAAGAAAACAATCACACACAAAGGAAAAGAAAGCAAGCTACTTTACCTAAACCCCACAATTTCAATATCCACAACAGCTACATCCATCCATTTATAAGATAAGCATAAGCAAAAGAAATCACAGCACCTCAGCATAGACTAAAAATAAACTATTTTTCCCCACAATTTCTTCAGAGAAACACACCAAAAAAAATCATTTTTACCATGATCAAGAAGCACAGCCCAGAAAGGAGAAAGCTTTACTAATTAAAAACAGAAATACATAAAAAAAAAAAAAAGGGGGGGGGGGGGGTCTTTTATCAACAAAAAAAAAGGAAAAGACAAAAGGGGTTGTGGTAAACAAAGAAAAATGATAAGTAGAGTTGAAGTAGAGGAACTTACGTAGTAGCAAGAAGCAGAAAGGGCAAGCCACCAACAATTATTTCAGCGGAAAACAAAAAAAGAATCAAGCTTTTACAATAGAGGGATTCTGAACAAAAAGTAGAAAATACCAACTGGGACAGAGAAACGGAGTGGGTAAGATAGTTTTCTTGAATAGGAAAATTCTGAAACGTACAGAGAGAGAAGTTCACCTAGCTTTCTTCAACATGGATTCTTGACACGTGTGCAAGAAATGAAAATGAATCACACTTCTATATCTAAAAATAATTTCTTCATAATTTTTTTTATAGTTATGCAAATATTATAACAGGTTTTTTAGCCACAAATTCTAAAAGTTTCATATACATACAAATGTTAATGTATATATAGAACGACAAATGTGAAATGTTAATTTTTCTTTCATTATATCGTATAAACAAAATGGAAGGTCTATTATGTATCTCTTGATTAATATATAATATAATAGTATTTTGTAAAAAAAAATGTTGAAGTAAATTTGACAGAAAATATCCCATCATTTTCAAAATTCAAGTAGTTTAAAAGCTGAAAAGATTGCATAAGATTGACTATCAAACATTTCGAAACGCTATATAAAATATAAATAGTGGAAGGAGAAATTTTTTCTGAAATTTGTATTGATTTAATAACAAAAACAAGAAAGCAAAAGGGTCATCCTACCCCAATTCAATCGATTTCTTTCACACTCTACACTTTTGAAGCATTTCTTGCAAAATAGAAAATTTATTAACATAATATTTGTATTCATAACCCCCCCCCCCCCTTTTTTTGGGGTGGGGGTGGGGACATCACCCTTATCAACATCAACCATGATGGGTTGATAACTATTCTAAGGATAAGAACACACAAGCATTGAAGCATGAATCTTGAAATTGAGGGAAAAATAATTTTCTTTTCCTTGAAATTGATATAAAACATATTCTCTTCTTAAATTATAAAGTCATTCAAAACTAATTATTCCTTCTCCTGAATAAAGAAACATTTGAAATTGGTGAACAAGAATGCGTCTTAAAAGAGCACTTCCAAATCAACTAATTTAGAAGATCCACTTGCTCAAAAGTCAACCGGAGCCCAAAAGGAAATATTTTTAGATAATCTTTTTTAGGTGTATAGCCATTTATAAATACCTTTTGCTATATTACGTATTACAGATACCTTTTAGGTGGTTATGAGATGTATTTGATGTATTTAAGTTATTGTATTCATTAATACAATAACAAAAATAGGCGTGAAAAAGGGAATTCCAGCTAAGCTTGATATGTATTCGACTATATTCACGCGGCCTTATCGTGAATACAGTAACGTATTGCGCGTAAATCCTGGAAGGTTGAACTTGTTTAAAACGGAAAGGAAATCAAATCACCTGATATTCTCCCAATTTAACTCAACTAACAAAAACTATTACCCATTAATTTGTATTCCTCCATTCACGATTCAACAAGAAAAATAGCGAAAACAAGAGCAACATCTGGAATTTGTGTTCTCCCTTTTCTCTTACCCTGTTCTCATTCAACCACGCAAAAGTGCGATTGATACAATAGTATACAAAATACGATATAATTCCATTATACATATGGCAAGTTTAACAGTGTTGTTGCGTCATTCTGGCAAGTGGAACGATGAGAGCAATTACGTCGATTTTTCAATTGAGGGAATACTGATAAAGGAGTATGCGTCGTATAATGATTTGGTTACGTCAATTTCTAATCAACTGGGCATAGATTTGAGCACAAAGTCCATTAAAATTCAATACAAAGTAGAAGGGAATAGCACGCCAATGGAAATACACAATGACATGGGTTACAGGGTGTATGTAGAGTTGAAAAAAGAGAACAGAGAATTCGGGATCTATCCTTTGTGCATAACAACGATTGAAAAAGAACTTGTATCCGGTGGTAGTTTAATTCAAGGCGCTATTGTGCAAATAGACGAATCACTTCAAAGGTATGATTCCGGTACAGATGATACGTTTGCTCTAGATTTTGTCAATTCAGGAGAAGCAATGGGGTGTTTGAACTGGACAAGGATTTGCTGATTTCAAAAACTAATCAAAGGGAGGTTATGGTTGGACAAGTATATAAGGATAAGGCTACATTGAAAGAGGTGATGGAGAATTATGCTATATCTCAAAGGTTTCAATTCCGGGTTGATAGGTCTAATGCTGTCAGGTTTGCGTGTATTTAATTTTATTTTATTTTTGTATTTTGTATTATTTGTTGGAGGTGTAAGTTAAACGTTGATGTATTTATGCGTATTTGTGGATTTTCACTTGATCTTTACTGATGCGTTTAACATCTGTTTGTTTATGGTCTTTAAATACATGTATTCATATGTATTTTACTGGTATAATTACATTACAGTGTCTCTAATTATTTTCCTATTTTGTTGATTGCTTTTTTTAAGTGTACGCATATAACTATAATTGTATTCAGTTGTATTCATTGTATTTAAATGCATATAACTATAATTGAATTCAATTGTATAATAATTTATATATGCAGATGTCAGAATGTATTCATGTCAGATTGTATTCATGTGTATATGAGTGCATTTTTGGTAAACATTTATGCTAATCATATGTATAATGATAAATTCTTTGCAGCTATGCATTATTATGTATGTCAAAAGATTGTGAATGGAGGTTTAAGGCTTCAAGCATTAACAAATCAGAACTATTCAAAGTGAGAGAGTTCATTGATAACCATACATGTCCGCTGAAGGACAAGGTGTATGAGCAGCGACAGGCAAGTAGCAGCCTTATAGGTGGTATGATTAGGCCTAAGCTTACTAATCATAAGAGGAAAATAAACCCCAAAGGATATTATTGATGATGTGAAATCAGATTTAGGTGTAGATGTTAGCTACATGTTGGCGTGGCGGGCTAAAGAAAAGGCAATGTATTTTTTGAGAGGTGAACCGGCTGATTCATACAAGAAATTTACCAGGATACTTATATACAATAGATATGACATATCCAGGTTCCCACATCAGAATGGTAAAATTTCCCAAAAATGAATTCATGTATGTATATATATCTTTGTATTCCTTTATAAAGGGGTTTGATCATTGTAGACCCATTGTGATTGTGGATGGAAGTCACCTAAAATCTTACTACACCGGGACATTCGTTTCGGCAAGCACGTTGGATGGTGCAGGTGAGTACGTGAATTCTAATAAATTCTGTTAATATTTCAAAGATTGAAATACATGTTTTAAAAATATATATTCAATTGTCTTTATAGGTCATATATTGCCACTAGCCTATGGTGTTATTGATTCAGAGAATGATGTTGCTTGGAGAAGGTAGATATTGGGGTGAAAGAATACTTGGAGTTAGCTGGATACGAAAAGTGGGCTAGGTTGTATGCACCTGTTAACAGGGGATGGACCATGACGTCAAATATTGTTGAGTCAATCAATGTCGCACTAGTGTCAGCAAGGGAATTTCCAATATACGACTTCCTTGAAGAAGTTAGGAAGATGTTTGGACGTTGGAATTGTAGTAACCGCAAAGAAGCTATAGAGACATACACAACGCTTGGAAAAAAATACCAGGAGATGCTGATTTTGAATGAGGCAATGTCTACACGCATGATTGTAAGTTTTATTTTAATGTCATTGTATTAGATAGCTTAATTGTTTTCTGAAATAACTTATACAGAATTTTTTAGATAGACGTATTCAGTTGTATTGTCATGCAGTAGCCTTATAATGTTTTTGTTTTTTTTCAGCTGCCTAAAGTTAAGCAGAATTTTGATGTATGTCATTGTATTCATATGCTAAGACGTAATTATAGTTTATAGTCTGGCGGTCTACATATATGATGTATTCTTCTGTATTCAAACATTTCAGTTGTATGTAACTGAATAATTCAGCATTATACATAAAGAAATTCATTTATATGTGCTCAAAACTTATAGGTCTATGTTTAAATGTAGGTGGTACCATCGACTGAATACTTACATACGGTTAACGATGGAGGGAGACATTACACCGTCTGCCTGTTAGAGGGAAAATGCGTTTGTGGGAGGTTCCAAGCTGATGAATTACCATGCCCACATGCTTGGGCTGTATTGAAGAGCAAGTATCTAATGCCAGAAGATTATTGCTCTAACTATTACAAACCAAATTCTGTTGTAATGACATACGATGTGCCTGTGTACCCGCTATCGGACAGAAATGACTGGAATATACCAACACATGTTGCAGAGGAGGTTGTATTACCACCCAAATGGAAAAGACCTCCTGGAAGGCCAAAGAAGAAGCGCGATAAACCTTTCAGTGAATTGCTGCAGCCGAAAAATCAACATTCATGTAGCATATGTGGGCAGGGAGGACATAACAAGCGAACGTGTAGAAATGCTCCACGTAGGATTTAGTTAACACTCTGACATGTATTAGTGCTCTAACGATTTGTCGTTACTTCTGATGACATTGTCAAGTAATAAATTTTGAAATGCCTTTCGTGAATAGATTCTGGATACATTTAGTTGCAGTATTGTGTTGAATACATTCGAATACAACCTTGTCCACATATACTTAGACAATTTATTATAGACAGTGCCTGAGTTGTATATACATAACTAGTCTAAATACATCAGAATACA